TGGAGGACACTGTACTATTCCTCTCATTTCCAAATTTTGCCAAGACTGGAAAACAAAGCTTTCAGGTTTTTAAGGACGCACAGAAACCCCATGTTTATACACCTCCTACTAACCTTGAAGACCTGGCTGCGAGGCGTCTTGTTGCCGTTGTAGCCCATGTCATTGCCGCTGTTTGGTGATGAAGGCCCCAGACAGAACACATGACAGAAAATACGAACAATTCTCAGCAAACTCTTCATCTGAGCTTCATAACTGCTGGACAGGCTGAGGAGGGACAAAGGGAAAAGGAGGGACTGTCAAGCACATCTTAACAATTGACAGTCAACAGTCAATCTGTAATACTACATAAAATGGGTTTTAATTTTTATTTACAGAATCAGCATGATGGAAGAGGATGACAAAGACAACAAACTTCCTTTTTTACATTTCTGGTTGTGTATGGATTTAAAGATTATGGAATCATTCTCAAAAACAGAATAACCTGATTACTCATAAAACTATAAGTTAAGTACAATTAAAACTAGACAAATGCTCATTTATTTTACAATAATGTCTGAAGAACTGACATTTAAGAAGACCATTACATATACAACATAAACAAGAGAAGAAAAGCAAATGTATGAATCTAATGTACCTGAGAAGCTTGTGTCCATTGGTGGTAGCCACTTCAGCCAGACTGGTCAAGATCCTGTGGTAATGGCTGTCACTCTGCTGAGAGACATGCTCCAGAACCTGCCTGAGCTAAACACACACACACACATTGCTTTTCATTCCTTGTGGAAATTTTATATTGACCTAGTCATTTCCTAGAGACTTATCCCAACCTTAACCATAACCACTACATGCCTAACCCTAACCTTAAACTCCCCCAAACCTGAAACCATGCTGTCACCATAAAATTAACAGCCTTTGGTCCCCATGAGGACAGTGAGTTCCCACAGTGTGAGTGTGTTAACAGGTTTTAGGCCCCACAAGGGCAGATGTTCAAACACGGGGCCGATCAAAAAATGTAGAGACAGTCTGCTCATACCATGTTCTCCTTAATCTCATCATTCTGTGTCATCTGGATGAGAGTCTGGAACAGTCTGCTGTGGTGCTGAATGAGGATTTCACAGGTCTCCCCATATCCACCCTGAAACACACAGGAGGAACGGAAACCACAAGAGTTCAACATAAACTGAACAACACAACACAAAGAGGAAAAAAGAGTAAAACACTTGAAAGGTTAAAGGCAATGAAATGCTCACCTGCACACAAAGATCCAGAGGGGTGATTCCATTTTTGTCAGCGAGGTATTTGGCTCCTCGAGAGAGCAGGATCTGTGCTGTGTCTCTTTGGCCGTGGCTACGGAATAATGTAGGTTACAATATGGCTGGAGCAATGGTTTGTCCAATACTGGCACTCAGATATGTAAAGCTAAATATGGATATTCAGAATATTACAATCCTTAATATTTTGGAATATTTCAGCATTCTGATTAATAACAATGAAAAGCCAACTCCTATTTGCCAAGTCATTTTCTAAATTAAAGGATGTGCATCAGTGCATCTCCACTCCTGAGCTGTTAGTATGAAATGTAAAAGAGGTGATTTGGGACCACAAAATAAAAGTCCATTATTACAAAGGCATCACTGATGACATCACCTGCAAGCAAAGTAAAGCGGTGTGGCTCCAGAGACATTTGGCCGGTTGATGTCAGCTCCACTGTCCAGAAGACACAACACAGTCTGCACAGACACAACCCAAACTCATATCAAATACAGTGAAATTTTTCACCGACATACTGAATAGCAAGAGAAGAAAACCCAGATAATATTTGGTATATTCAAGTACAACAATTTGAGTTAAGCGTTCAAGGTATACAGTTCACAATCATCAATATGATAAAAGGCTGCAGCACTATAAAAGTGTGACATGTGTTTAATGGAGGTAACACTAAGTATATGCAGGGCCTCTGTAGGTGCCATGAACTGACCAGGGGTTGACTGCCAAACAGTGTGGTGAAGCTTTTTCTGAACACACATTTTTTCATATCTGATTCTTGTCCAACAGGAACCAGTGGGCTAGTCAAGCTCACGACCAATATGCAGTGAACTAAAAATACATCTACTTTTTCAATTAAAGAGATATCTTCTAATTAGCTCACAGTTTTGTGTCCATTCTGACAGGCTACATGTAGGGCTGTCTGCCCCATAGCATCCTCCACATCCACATTGGACACATGCTGGACCAGATCATGGAGGAGCTCAGTCCGCCCATTCACTGCCAACCAGTGGATCTGCACAAGAGGTTCACACAAGCAGTCACTATCCTGACCGCAAGAGTTAACACCAGTCACCTAGATAATGATACAGTCATTGATAAGAATTGATGATTATAACAATTTTAAGATGCTCAACACAACATAAACCACAGCTGGTACAGTATTATAGTATTATACATTTTTACTTCAAGTATTACAGTTCACTCACAGCAGTCAGTCCTTCATTGTTGCAGATGTTGACATCAGCATTATACTCCAGTAGTTTGCCCATACACTTCTTCTGTCTGAGGGAGTGGGGAGGAAAGTGTTTAGTATCACTATATCCTACATTAGGGCACAGGGTAATGCAGGAGCTACAGGCTGTAAGCTTTATTATCCGAGTCTTGCCTCAGAATGACTGAACATAAAAATTAACTGACAGAAGTCTTGTAAATGCTGTGTTGCGTCTTAAAATACTTCTGTTAGCCTGGACCAGTTTGCTGATATTTTTCTGTCTGGCCAGCCACTGGAAGGCTGCGAGCACTCATACCCAGTGGTTTCACACTGTTCCAGACAGTGATGCCCTGTGAAATGCAGCAATCAACAAGTGCACAAGAAGCATATGACTGCAAGGAAGCAATAACCAATGTAAACTATACTGGATTTAAAACACTTCAAACTCCTGGGGGGTGTTCTTCATATGTTGCTAAACAGAGTCAAGATCAAATGAGTAATCCTGGATTTTTGTAGATCCTGGATCCATCATGCATAACCCCTCCCATCCCCTGCACCACACAGTAGAGGCTCTGCACAGTTCTTTTAGCGCGAGACTGTTACATCCCCAGTGTAAGAATGAGCTTTACCACAGGTCACTCCTCCCCACAGCCATCAGACTGTAAAACATATCACTGCAGTGATAAGATAGGTGAAATTATGTAGACTATGTAATAATCTACTGAGGTGCAATATTCAGCTCCTGGGGGTGAAATGCATTGTAAATAGGCTCATGTGTAATATCTTGTTCCTTATGGCTGAAACACAGGTTTCTCTCCCCCATTGTAGGATTAATTGCGTGAGTAATATTTGATTGTTCTTGATTTCCTGGTTGTTTAGTCTCTACTGCTGTTCCTGATTCTCTCCAGTGCTGCTCTGCCCTGGTTTTAGGTGCCTTTGATTTGCTTATTTGTGCTGTGTAAAATGTAACGTTCTGATGACAATACTTGTGTGTATCGGTTCCAGTTCTTTGTTGCCTTTATGTAACTGTTTATTTTAAGACTAAGTGTTCTTTGTTGCGCCACGTGGAGTGGCAGCAAGTTACAGCAGCTGTGTCCTTGTTGTGTTCTTTTCCGTGTTTTTATGAAGTTCTGTTCTTATGTGTCTGTTCTTATGGTGTTATGTTGGTTGTTCTCTATTGCTGCTGTAACACAGAAATTTCCCCACTGTGGGATCAATAAAGTACCTAATCTACTCTTTCTAACACCAGCTAAGGTTATCCTGAGATTTTGGTTCTTCAACCCCCACCTGAGTTGAGGATTAGAAAAGCTGGATTAGATCATCTGAGATCAGTGTGTGCTCATGTGGTCGCTGACTACAATATATATCGACAATCAAAACCATGATCAGCTGGTTTCTGATTGGCTACATGCAGATGTCTAAGGAGAGAGCACAGTCTGTCCCTGCACCACAGTGACAGCTTCTGCTGGAGGGCTATGAGGAATTTAAAGAGTTAATTCATATGCAAACTATCTGCAAAAGTGGTGAAAATGCAGAAAGATGGATGCAAAAAGTGACTGACAGATTAAATGTACAAGTATCCCCTTTAAATCCTTAATGTCACCATGACTGCATGTCCACTGCTTTGATATGATGGCATAATTTGTTTAATCTCTGCATTATATTTAGAGCAAGTACAAGCACAACAAGGTGTGGAAACAAGAGAAAGTAAAAGAACAACCCCAACACCTAACCACATATAGGAAACTGCTGCTTGTGGAAAATCTCAGGTCAGTGCACACTGACTGTGTGGTGTAAGAGCACAGTTTGTCTTTGTCTGGCCCCTAATTTGAGGTGCCAGAGAGTCCCTTTAAATAAATTAGGACTTAAACAGTACTGTTATATATGGTTGGTAATGTGGAAATCTTAAGATAGAGCTATTCTAAAACTTCACACTCTGGTGACTAACAGTGAGTAAAAAATTAATTTTTCTTTTAAAAGGCCACAGGCTACCTTTAAGTTAAAGATGGTCAAAGCCACATAAAAGAATCAGCAACTAAGTAGAAATGTCCACTGTTTCAACATCCTAGGATGTCCAAAAGTGAACTGACTGGATCAAGTGTTACAAGACCTTGAATGAAAACTGAACACAACAGCAACATGTAAACACAGATTAAATGTAGAATGATGCTCATACCCGTTCCTAGCAGCGAGGTGTAGAGGGGTACATCCTGAGATGTCTTGATAGTTTGGGTTGGCTCCTCTCTTTAGCAGCAAAACCAGACATTCCACTGACCCACAGCTGTACAGAGAGATACAGAGCAACTTCAGTTCAGAGCAGCAGACACCTGTCCTGCATACACACAAAATCCCCACTGCTTAGTATGTGACAACTCCCTGTTGTCAATAACAAAGAACCCCAGCAATTTCACTTATTTATTGTTATTCATCACTGATTGAGGAAAATAAGAACAACCCCAGGTTTCTTTTCAGTACTGTAGCCAGGCTGACAAAGAGCCACAGTGCTGTTGAGCTTAACATTCCCTTAGATCTCAGCAGCAATGACTTCATGAGCTTCTTTACAAATAAAATCACAACTATTAGAGAAAAAATTGGTCGGACCACTCCCACAGCTCTCGCAGATGTGCCATCTACTACAATGGCTTTAGAAACATCTGTAAGACCTCATTTATACTTGGACTACTTCTCCCCTATAGATCTCTCTGAGTTGACCTCAACAATTGCTTCATCTAAATCATCAACATGGCTCCTGGACCCCATCCCGACCAGGCTGCTCAAAGACATCTTTCCCCTAATCAACACATCCATACTAGATCTGATTAACCTCTCTCTATTAACAGGTTATGTTCCACAGGCTTTTAAACTTGCAGTAATTAAACCTCTACTCAAAAAGCCTACTCTTGACCCAGGTGTCCTAGCTAATTATAGACCAATATCCAATCTCCCATTTATTTCCAAAATCCTTCAAAAAGCTGTTGCAAAGCAGTTATGTGACCACTTGCACAAGAATGATTTGTTTGAGGATTTTCAGTCAGGATTTAGAGTCCATCATAGTACAGAAACCGCATTGGTGAAAGTCACCAATGATCTTCTCCTAGCCTCGGACAAAGGACTTGTCTCCATACTTGTCCTCTTAGATCTCAGTGCTGCTTTTGACACCATTGATCACAGCATCTTACTGCAGAGACTTGAACATGTTATTGGGATTAAAGGAACTGCGCTAAGTTGGTTCAAATCTTATTTATCAGAAAGATTTCAATTTGTTCATGTTAATGACGAATGTTCCACACAAACTGAAGTTAGTCACGGCGTTCCACAGGGCTCTGTGTTAGGTCCAATTCTCTTCACTTTATACATGCTCCCTTTAGGCAATATTATCAGGAAGCACAACATAAATTTCCATTGCTATGCAGATGATACTCAGTTATATTTATCTATGAAGCCAAATGAATCAGGTCAGCTGGTCAAACTTCAAGCATGTCTTAAAGACATAAAGGCCTGGATGACCTGCAACTTCTTACTTCTAAACTCTGACAAAACTGAAGTTATTGTGCTTGGGCCTGAAAACCTTAGAAATCTGCTGTCTAATCATATAGTTACTTTAGATGACATAGCTCTTGCCTCCAGTACTACTGTGAGGAACCTTGGAGTCATCTTTGATCAGAATATGTCCTTTAAATCACACATAAACCAAGTCTCTAGATCTGCCTTCTTTCACCTGCGCAATATTGCAAAAATCAGGAGCATCCTGTCTCAAAGTGATGCTGAAAAACTGGTCCATGCATTTGTTACTTCCAGGCTGGACTACTGTAACTCTTTACTATCAGGATGTCCCAATAATTCCCTAAAAAGCCTCCAGTTAATCCAAAATGCTGCAGCCAGAGTACTGACAGGAACTAGCAAGAGAGATCATATCTCTCCCATATTAGCTTCTCTCCACTGGCTCCCTGTAAAATTCAGAATAGAATTTAAAATCCTTCTCCTAACATACAAAGCCCTTAATGACAAGGCTCCATCGTATCTTAAAGACCTCGTAGAGCCTTATCATCCTAACAGAGCACTTCGCTCTCAGAGTGCAGGTTTACTTGTGGTTCCTAGAGTCCACAGAAGCAGAATGGGAGGCAGAGCCTTTAGCTATCAAGCTCCTCTCCTATGGAACCAACTCCCAGTCTCAGTTCGGGAGGCGGACACCCTCTCTACCTTTAAGATTAGACTTAAGACGTTCCTTTTTGATAAAGCTTATAGTTAGGGCTGGATCAGGTGACCCTGAGCCCTCCCTTAGTTATGCTGCTATAGGCCTAGGCTGCTGGGGGCCCCATGATGCTCTGAGTTTCTTTCCCCTCCCCTCCTACTCT